GTTTTTATATTGATAAAAAGAGCTGTACAATGGACCCGAGTGCTTCAGAGTCTACTCAAGCCAGTAAATTATTTACATAATGAAAGCAAGAAGTTATTTTCTTCAGGATTACTGTGCAACTACCTTAAATAACCGAGGTAGGAAGCAGAAGTGCCTTCTACCACTCAGGCACCATATCCTAAAAATGCTGCCTGAAGCATTAAATTGTTTTCTTAACTTTTGACCCTGCAAAAATCAAGCCTGTCCATTGAAAACTAGCCACCTGAAAAAAAATTTAAAAAATAAGAATCTTCAAGCCAATTTTATAACCATTCTACTGTCAAAAAGTGGAGATATAAAATGAAGGAGACACAAGAGTTGGAGCTTGTTGATTTTAAAGCTGGAGTCTTCAGCGTGCAGTGTTCTGGCTGGGAGCAGAGCTATTTGAGCCTGCTCAGATATTCCCCACACCACCCCCCTTCCCGAGTGTTTGCTCTGCTGCCCTTCCCCCTCCGTTCCTGCTGTGACAGCACAAGTACAGGGATCTGGATAAGAAAATTATACAGATGAAAAATAGCCCAGCCAGAAGAGTACACACTATTTTTCAGCCAGTGTGCTTCCTTATCCTGCTCATTTTCTGGCTGCACAAGAGTCTTGTGCCAACACAAGTTAAGGAACACTTTGTTATTGGCCCCGAATATTTATGCTGGCACTGCTGCCAAAAACTTGGTGAAACTTTACCCTAAGGGTTTACATTAAAGGTTTCCTTTCTAAAATGTCCATTTTAAGAATCCTCTCTCTGCTCAAATCTTCTCCTTGCTATAAGATGCATTTTGCTTCATGAAACGTGGAACTGGGCAGGCAGTTTGAAAATAAAATCTACAGCCAGTTGAAGGACATTAAACATCGACTGCAAAAAACCCCAGCCACCTATAAAAAAGGCTTTTAGAAGAATCTGTGCTTACTTGTTTGATTTGATGGAGACGGCTGCTAGGAATACGGATAGGAGATGATGGCACAAACTGCAAAACAAAGTCACATACAATTGAAAGTACAGCAGAAGGGAGGGAAATGTTAGTAAACTAGTGCTGCCCCAAACTAAAAAGAAACTAATTTAAAAAAACCCCATATAATTTATAATATTCTCAGTGTATACATAACCTACATTACTTACTTGCAAGAAGGTTGCATTCTTGCATGTTAACATGCATTCTTGCATGTTAATATGTATTTCCACATTATACAGCTTCGTAAGCTCACAGATGCTAATTGGTATCAGCCTGGCTTCCATTCCATTTCCAGGCAACTAGAACTGACAGCTTTCCCCACAGAATGGAGCTGCTTTTCACTAGCACACCACCCCTAGTATGTATGTTGGCATATATATTTTCCTTTATGTGACTCAGAATATTTATTTTCATTTAAGTGGTCCAGAAAGCTCCCCAATAGATCCTTTAAAATACAAAGCCAAAACAACAAATTGTACAAAAAGTTCCTGGATTGTTGTCTGCTTATAAATGAGTACTTTGACAGGTGAAAAAAATCAGCTATTAGAAGGCTAACAAAGAGTTAAACACTTTCTTTATGTTTCTCAAGAGCTTCACCAATCTGGGTGAAATCAGAGAAGACGTCACTAAAAATGGTCTTCTGTTAATGTTGACAGTTTTGCATCAAGATCTCACTGGAATGCTATGATCTAAAACTGCACATCCAAAACCGAGTAATTTAAAGTGATTATTTTCTCAAAATATAATTTTCTTTCATAAATTTCCCACCCCTCACATTGTCAGCCCTCGGTTTATTTACGTAGTAGCCATTCAGAGAACAAAAAATCTAAACTGAAGCCTTGAATAGAGGTTTAACTTCTCTGTAAGATGACAATCCTTCCAGAAAATAAGGTGTCTTTTCAAAATGGATGTAATAGATGTGTTCAGCAAGTAGGGCTTGCATTATTATAGGTGTTTTTATACTTCATTCATTATAAGGCTCCATCTGCTTCACAAAACATTACTAGAGCTCTTCATCATGCTGAAGCTGAAGAAGTAACAAACATTCAGTTAACTCTTACTGCACCATCTTCTACTCAGTGCCACAGAGAACACAAGGATTTTGCTGCCTGGCAGGGTAAGTTAACACAGACTATTAATGCTTCACACATCCAGAACCCTCCTTCTGAAAAAACAAACATGAAGACATCACACCCTGCTTCTCACAAAAGAATCCTGCCTATCAGGCTCACACAGAGGATGACTAACATTTGTGCCAGAATTTAGTCATCATAATATAGAATACTAAAGTCTAGCAACTATAATATCTTGATTTGCTAATTTTAAGGTCCAGTTTAGGTCAGCTTTACTATTATACTGGGCTCCCAAAAATCCTCTGCACTTAATAAAAATTCCTCCAAGCTGCACCAGCCAATGCAGACCTTGAGTTGACCTTGATTCTCACACATAGAAAAGGATTTGGACAATAGTGCATTCCTGCCTATTCACTCTGTCATTCCACAGTAGAAATGCATTTGTTCCACTCATTATATTCTAATTTTATGACTGTGATCCACATACTTTAAGGTTTGACATTAATAGAATATGTAAAAAAACAGTGGCTTGCAGTATAAAACAAAAAATATAAAAAGACAATTAAGTGTTCCTCTGCGGGGTCTGATGCACTAACACAACTCTGAGGATCCTACATCTTATTTCCAACAAGTCATCACCCTTGCTCTGCCAGTGTGTAAAACTCACTTTTGCTCTGTTTGCAGCCTTTGGTTTAATTCTTGTGAAAAGAAACATCTGTCACTTTCAAAGGCTACTTGTTAAACTGAACCCATATATTAAAATTATGCTACCCAAATCCCCATTGCTTTAAGAGAGCAAAAAGCTTAATAAAAACATTACAAACTATTATGCTATGACCTTCCCCCCTACCCCAGTGTGTCAGACACTGTGCTCCAGTGCAGGTAAAGTTTCAGCAGTGCCAGGTTGGCAGGAGCCACTGCCCAGGTGAGCAGGGACTGCCCCAGTGCCTCTGCCCTGCCCTGCAGTGCCCTCTGCCTCCTGCAGCACAGACACTTGAACCCAGCCAGGAGGCTACCCAGCTTAAAAAAAAATAGAAAAAATTTAACATCAGCTTCTGCTGAAATAGCACCTAAACATCTAACCACAGACCCAACTGCCCCGCTTAAGCAACAAAACAAAAACCCCAGCCGTGCAAAACAAATCAAAAAAACACCAAAACATTTACTCACTGGTATCTCCTGGAAGAAAATAAACTGCAGATACTGCAGAGCCTGGTTACCCTTCCTTGGCAATTACATGCAGTGTCAGAGAACTGCAGATCAAGCCCCAGCCCAAATGGCACCACTGCCCTTGCAGTCATCACTATAAACCAGCTGAAGTCTGACACTTGGAGAAGCTACTCCAAAATCAGAATGTGGAATTCAGCTGAGCAGCTGGGACAGCACTGAAAATGGAGTTGATAGTGTATGACCTCCAGTTACCAGAGATTTTAGTAACTCCTGCTGTTCCCCTGACAGGGAACACCACACAGATTAGACAACCACTAATCAACTTTTTTTTCACAAAGTTTAAAAGAACATACAATTTAAGCTGTACTTGAAATGCTTGTAATAAAGAAGTTTCAGTTACTGAATCTTTTAACCCTCTTACAGTTTACACTGCAGTAAAACTTGGATTAGTTTTCTTAAATACAAAGAAGGGGGTTTTGAAATACACTTTATCACCTTCTTATGTAAAATTTAATTTACAAAAGTAGATGTGATCTAGCTCCTTAGACTATCTCTAACATCATAAAACTAAATGTACTTGTTAGCTATAGGAAGAATACCAGGGAAGGTTGCTTAGGGTCCTTGATGCTGAAAGCTTAATTCTGTCACAAAATCATTTATCTGTGGATGATCCTGGTTTAAGGCCACAGAAGGACGAGAATCTCCAAGATCCTTTCCAATTCCATCCCCCCTGCCATATTCAACGGAACCATAACCCAGATCATAACTCAAAGGAGCATTTCAAAGCAGACAAGGCACTGATCTAGCAGTCAGTGGGGAACTTGATTTTCAGTGTAAGTAAAATTTCATGTATTTTGTCAGGATCTGGTCAGTTGGGAGTGAAGAAGAAGGACACTTTTTAATAACATGAGTGTGAGGGGAAGGGTTAGGAACATCATCCCATGAAGATGGAAACACTGGTTAAGTCCAGGAGACTGCAACATTTATGAGGGGCAGGCAGAAGAGCAGCCCATCAGTGAATTAGCTCCTGCTTCCCAGCAAGTTCTGGGCAAGGCATCCTGAATTAGCACTTCTTAGCCCAACATCTGAGGATCTTCAGGAGTAAATACAATGAACTGAGCTTTTGCCTTTGTTCTTTTCTCCTCTCGCCTGACCACAAGCCCAAACAGATTTACACTAAGCTGCTATCCTAAAATTATGAAGAAAGAGACTTGATTAAGAAATCTTGAGCATAACACTTTCTTTCAGTTTTTTTCATCCCAGCAGGAGAAAGATTGGTGGAAAAGCCTTTCTTATATGCAACTATTCTGGTTTTGCTCAGATGCAACCTTGCTGAAGTATTTATCTGTACTTTTTTTCTTAAGCATCAGAAATAATTTAAGACATTGATTACTGTTAACAGTACAGTTATATAAGTAGTTTTCTTAGGCAGTTACATTTCTCACTCTACCTTGGAACATCTATTTTACAAGCAAAGTTATGATCACAATGAAATACAGGCATTTTCTAAGCCCAATGATCTATAAGCAACATTTCGTTGCAGCTACAGCATATTAATGTCACAGTGTAGAGCCCCGTTTCTGAAAGCCACGTGGTATTAGTTTCACAGACTGCAATCTAATTGTGTTTATTCCTGTTTGCAGGCTCTGCCTGGCACCTGTGGGCTGGGTGAGGGAGTGTCCTTACCAGGCTGTGCCGATTCATGACCGTGGTGCTGTTCCTGCGGGTGCGCAGGACGCTGGCCTGGAACACCTGGCAGTTATCGCTGCGGAGGGAGAGGAACACTCGTCAGATGCAAAAGCCATTTCCTTCCCAGCAAAAAGCACTGTCAGAATCTGTGTATTTAGTGCAGCACAACAAAGCACCTCTTCGTATCAGCTCAGCTCCAAGTGCTGTGACAGCTCTCCTGTCGAGACAAAGCACTCCAGAGACAGGCAGGTAAGAACTCTTTTAGCTTGTTGGCAGAGAGTGCAAATCAACTTGTTCATCCTCCAATTCCCAGCTACTTCAATTAATGATTTCAATTAATCATTCTGTGTCTTCAGAATAATTGAAGAATTGTTTAGACTGTGGGGATTTATTATGTTTGGAATGGCTGCTGCTTGTAAATTGCCTCAAATGTCATTCAACAGAACAAATGTATAAATGGCTGGTAAGCAGTAACTGAAACAAGCTTCAATCCCACAGATAAAACAGAATTAAAAATTACAGCATCTTGATAAATCTTATCACTACCCACACCTAATATCTTCTGAACGTTTTTCCAGCAGAAGTTAAATTAAACTCACAGTAAACCCAGTTTTTAAGGCCCCACAGCAATGTATCCATTGAAATGGTATAGGATTATTTATCCGACACAAAACGAATTTCTTTCTCAAGGCAATTTTAGTTCTATTGATTCCTAAAGCAAGTTTTACTGGTCATGTCATCATCAATGTTATCAACAGCCAATGATCAGCACTTAATGAATGTGACTGCAGAAATAAACTTTTTTTCTAGCAACCATAAAAAAATGTTGAGCTACAACCCTACAATCCCCATGCCCAAAAATCAATGAGGAACTGCAAAGGTGAACAAATCCAAATGTGAGACTGTAATAAGATTCAATTACAAGAATTCACATTGTATCTTTTTGTTTCAGCTGCTAACTTGGGATGAACAAAAGCCCCCCAAAATACAATTTATTTAAAACTAACCTGACCCACAGCACTACCTTGCCATAAGGACTGATAATCCTACTGCACTTTCATGACACACCATTGTCAGAATCCCCTAGTTTCAAACACACCAGTTAGACACATAAGTTTTGGACAGCTTTTATTTAGCTGTAAATATAAAACAAATACAATTTATACTGTGAAATAAAAGCCAACAGCAATTGGCATAGGCATTGTACTTTCTGCCAAGAAAAATGCATAGACTCTCCTTCTCCAAAATGTCAAGTACATGGGACCAGACATAATTTCCAATTTTCCAAGAAGTTTCACTCAGCTCACACCCACAAGAGATCAAACAGCTGCCATTTGACAGAGGTGGAAGAGGAGAAACTGAAGGGATCCATGACATGATGTTTAGAGAGGAGTTTTGGCTGAGGCCACAATTCTTTTCAGTGTAAGTGTACTGGTTGGCATGCAAACACAAGACAAACAGCACATCCTGAAATCCAGGGTCTGAGTCAAGAAAGCAGGTTGGAACAATCCTGTCCCACAGCCTGAGTCCAGTACTCAGTGTTAACTGGCAGAGAGGGAGAGAAAAAAGACCTACCAATAATTCTATCTTTAATCTCCCTTGCAAAAACACCAGAACTGGGCAGATCTCAGACTAACTTTTCACAGAAAACTACAGTTCCCATTAAAAATCAATTTTATTTGGCATAAAAACAAGAGTTAAAAGTTCTGTGAAATGTAACTTTTATGATCTAAAATATTCCACTTATAACTGTTCTCTGGATCTATTGCAACTCATTTTCCAAGTTCCTAACTAAAAAATGAAGAACTCAAAACAGGAGGGAGAGGAGAAAAAGCAAGCTGTGTAAGAGCAAGAGCTTTTGTTTCAGTTTACCCAACAAAGCCATTCTGGGAAAAACTGAAGTTTCTTGCCAAGAGCTGCAATCTTGCAAAAACAGTATTCTGGTGGAAAATTCCAAACTAACAGGCAAACCACTGAACCACCTCAGATTAGTTCAATGGCATTTCAGTTTTATTTGTATGAACACCTAACCCATAGGATGTGCACAGTGCCAAGGCAGGAGCTCAGGCTTACCCTTCTATCTGCCCAAACCCTGAACTAAATAATTTGCTCGAGGCTTTTTTTAAGAGTCAAGGGTCTTACAATTTCCAGTTTACAAAAGGCTGAGATTTAAAAAATGTCTTGTCTCAGTTACACAATTAGTTTACCTACTCAGAAACCTCCCAGGGGAGAGCTGCCATACACAACCCTTCCAAACTGCATCAAAACTTAAAATGGGAGTTGTTCCATTGTGATTATGAAAAGAATTAAAATTACATTCACTTAGCATTAAATCACAATAGAATAGGCAAGAAGTAGTATTCCATCTGAACTGTCAGACATTGTTAACAATTTTGGTAAAAGATGTATGTGAGATTTGTTCATCTCTTGATAGCCAGTTCCTTACAGAAACAGAAAGGGGGAAAAAAATCAATCCAGCAGGAAGTACTTATCATTTAATATACTACAGTTTATGAAACTTATTGTCAATATCCTTTCCCCAAATGCAGACATGCTACTAACAGCAGCAGCACATGGACCACCTTACAGCTGGATGGAAGCCACAGCATGTAGCAGATGGGGCATCCCCCAAGTTCTCAACAGCCCTTTGGGCTATAAACTCACCCAAACAAAACTGTGCAAGGAACCCTACCTGTCTGAAAGCTTTCACCTGCCCTTGCCTGCCACTGCCACTTTCTGTCCTGTGGGCTGAGGAGAGCCAGACCTGGCAAACACCCAAGCCTGCTGCAAACAGAGCTGCCACAGGCTGGTGGCACCATCCAGGCACAACTGCCTACACAGCACACGGTACTTCTCCCAGTAATGCACACTGCAGAAATTAGAACCACCAGGAAAATTCCTGGCCACCTGACACACCGCTTTACACTAAATGTAAAACTTCGTCAAGGTCCCGTGAAATGCCCCTTCCTGACCAAATTTGCCTGATTGTTCCGAAAGCATTTGCTGTTGTAATCATACACAGAGCAGTGATTTATTTTGTTCAGACCTGATCCATTACGGAAATCATCGCGATTGTTATTCGATGCATAAGAACAGCCACAACTCTCTGACGTTGCGGACGGTGTTCTGCACCACACAGCAGCCCTCGGTGAAAACAAAGCGTTTCAGCAAAGCCAAAGCCCGTCTTCCCGGGCTTCCTCGCACCCCTCCATAGGTTGGTATGTTCCCTAAATCCCTCCCAGCCTGGGACAGCGCTCAGGATCCCACTTTTCCCCGCGGCGCCGCGGAGCATCCCCGCAGCCCCCGCACGGCCGGGCCGAGCCGGGAGCCCCCCGGGCCCCTCACCTGAGCCCGTGGATGCGCAGCGCTCGGGCCGCGGCCGCTCGGGCACGGCTCCGTGAGGGGACCGGCGTGAGGGGAGCGGGGCGTGCTGCTCCCGCAGAGCTCTGCGGCCGAGGGACGCCGCGCTGAGCGGCACGCAGCGAAAATGCCGCCTCCGAGCTGTGCCCGCCCGCAGAAACAGCAGCGGGTGCTTCTGTGCAGGCCCAGGCGGCTCCGGGAATAAAGGATAAAACCAAACGTTTTCAGAATGCTTTAACAGCTACGTGTGGCCCTAGTTGATACCTAGAGGAAGTTGTGGTGAAATGGGTTGGAAGGGCAGTGCCACATTGGCTGGTGGGCAGTGCTGAGGCTCCTAACTCTTGGGAAGAAGTGGGAAATCTGGTTTGCCTTAACAGGGCATTACGCACCGAGCTGTGCCCGCCCGCAGAAACAGCAGCGGGTGGTTCTGTGCAGGCCCAGGCGGCTCCGGGAATAAAGGATAAAACCAAACGTTTTCAGAATGCTTTAACAGCTACGTGTGGCCCTAGTTGATACCTAGAGGAAGTTGTGGTGAAATGGGTTGGAAGGGCAGTGCCACATTGGCTGGGGGGCAGGGCTGAGGCTCCTAACTCTTGGGAAGAAGTGGGAAATCTGGTTTGCCTTAACAGGGCATTAACCACAGAATCATGGAATGGTTCGGATTGGAAGGGACCTTAAAAACCATTCTGATCCATCCCCTGCCATGGGAAGGGACATCTTCCACTATCCCAGGTGGCTCTAAGCCCTGTCCAGCCCAGCCTTGGACACTTCAGGGATGGAGCAGCCACAAGTGCTCTGGTCACCCTGTGCCTCACAGGGGAGAACTTCCTCCTAATATCCAGTCTAAACCCACTCGCTTTTGATTTTAAGCCATTCCCCCTTGTCCTGTCAATCCAGGCCCTTGTAAATACTCTCTCTCCATCTTTGTTGTAAATAATCTCTCTCTATCAATTTCCTTCAGGGACCTGAAGGCCACAGCTAGGTCACCCCAAAGCCTCTCTTCTCCAGTTTGAACAATCCCAATTATCTCAGCCTTTCCTCATAAAAAAAGGTGCTCCATCTCTTCGCCTGTTTATACTGAGAGTTTCAGGCAGTCTTTAGGAACAGAAATAACCAGAGAAAGAGGGTAGATTGTAGAAAGCTAAACATTTTTTTCATGGGCTCCATGCTTACTAATTTATCTAAGGCTGATGGCATTTTGTGATTGTGTTTATTTCACTCACAGGGGAATTTTCCTGACACTATTAAATACCCCCCACATCATCACTCACTTCATGCCCACTTTGTATCACTGTACTCACGTATCTCATTCTCCCAGTCTGCTGTGTTTATTTCACCCACAAGGTGAAATATTTTCCTGACACTATTAAATATCTCCCACATCATCACCCACTTCATATCACTGTACTCACGTATCTCATTCTCCCAGACTCTGTTTCCCCACTATGAATACCCATCCTTCACCCTCCCAAGGCTCTTTCTGACACGTTCTCTCCTTTCCTAACCCCTCTTGCCATGGTGCTGTTTATCTAACTCAACAACTTGTGATTTCCTCATTTCCATAGTTCTGTTCCACAGCACAGCTTTCCCTCATTACCCTCCTCAGCCCTTTGAGGGTCACCCCGACACTCTCCACTTTCCTTTGGACATATATTCCCATTAAAGTTCTCTTGGCTACAGTAAATCCTGGTCAGACAGCAGGATGGTGTGCCTGGCACTGGAAAATTTGAGAACATGGAGCAGATGTTTTTGTGCTCTCAGCCACATTTTGGATATTGTTGGCTTTTTCCCTAACAGTATCCTGGTGCATGGCATTTGAAGCCGCTTGCTGCCCTTGGTGGCAAGGACATAATATAATAACTCCACAATAAAAATAAATAGCAAGATCCACATAGTTTAGTGCTGCAGTCAGATCCTGCAGGTGGCTTTTGTATTAAGAGAACCAGCACATTTGTGAGTAGATTTCCATTCAGAGCTAGAAGTTTTGCTAGGAACTTTCACCTGAATTGCCTTTTAGACAATTCTAGCCACGGAAAATGAAGGTATGGAAGCTGTTCCAAGCTGTGAAATGCTTGTGCTGAAGCACCAGACAAGGATTTTGGTGCAAGTTCTGTAAAAGTGTTGCATTGCTTTTAGAGAATGGCAGCAGCAAAAGGTGATTTACAGTATATTCCTTTCACAGCTGCAGATCCTAATTTTCCAATGAATCAGACTGTCATAATTATTAGAAATTAAGCAAAATGATTTACATATTTGCGTTCTCAGTCTTTGCAGGAGATGGCAATTCTGTAGCACCTCACAGAGGGTGTCATTATGGGCTGTGAGAGGCTATAGTGTAAGGGGCACGGGACTGTGAAAGGTATTTCTCCTCTGCAGTAATACAAGATAAGGATTTTTTCCTCTGGGTTTTTCAATATAAATACATATTTTAAAATCCTGTAAGTATTTTAAATGCAATCTTGTGGGTCTTTTAACTCAATTCCATGCATCTTTGTGCATGTCAGCACAAAGTTCTTCATTAGTAGTATCATTTCAGTGAAAGAAATGTAAGCATCAACAACAGTTGATGAGACACAGAGTCCCCAAACATAGAAAAATTGAATATATTCAAGTCAGTCTTGATTAACAAAAAATGCAAGGAGGTACCAAAATAAATATTAAGGTACAGAAACAAGAGTTCTTCTAATCAGTTATCTAGAAGCATTGACCCTCAATTGTTTAAGAGAATAATTCATCTAGGTGTGTTCCCAACTAAGGTAGTTGAAATGTTGAAAAATCCTGACTTTTCTATCCTAACAGTTTCAACACCTAGCACTCTGGCAAAATAACTGTTTTATCCTGGGAGAAAACGAAGACCTTTTAAAATATGGTGCTGGGAAAGACCCTGAAGCCCTCTGCATGTAAGAAATAAATGTATGACGAAACAGTTACTGCAGAAAAATACGGTAAAATAAGCACAAACTTTGATGCTTTGATCACTTAGAGTGGGTTTGGTCAAGTCAGTCCAAACCTGAACACTGTCAAGATCTAGGATCAGGTCTCATAATGAGTTTTACAGCAGATTTCTGAAAGCCCAGCCCACTCTCATTGCAACCGAAGCCCTGGTAGGTGTTTCGGCAGCTAGGGAAGGCTGGGGAGAACACTGGGAGAGCCTGCGGGTTTCAGGCCGGAGAGGGCCTACTTTTGAAGGAGGTTGTAAGAGCTTTCCCCCCCGAGACGGGAAACAGGCGCCGGGTTTGTGCCGGGGTGGGACTCGAACCCGGATCCTCCTCCAGGTCACGGCAAGGCCACGCCCCCGCGGCGCGCGCGTCCTAGCGACCGTTGCGGCGTTTCAAACACACACGCGCTCCTCCCGGCTCAGGCCGGAGAGGGCCTAGTTTTGAAGGAGGTTGTAAGATCTTTTCCCCCCTGAGACGGGAAACAGGCGCCGGGTTTGTGCCGGGGTGGGACTCGAACCCGGATCCTCCTCCAGGTCACGGCAAGGCCACGCCCCCGCGGCGCGCGCGTCCTAGCGACCGTTGCGGCGTTTCAAACACACACGCGCTCCTCCCGCAGCCAATCAGCGCCCGCACCGGCCCCGGGCGTTGTCGGGAGCTCTCCCGCCGGCGAAGCAGTGCCGGGGTGCGGAGCTATCGCGCATGCGCCGTGCGGGGCGGGCGGCGGTGCCTGCGCCCCGATCCCCGCGCAGGCGCAGTGCGCGGCGGCGGGCGCGGAGCGCGGTGGGGCCTCCGCTCATCGAGCCCCGGGGTGCCCGGGACCCGGCCCGGCCCGGCGCTCCCTCTGCGGCCTGTGCATCGTGTCCCGTGTCCCGCGGGGCCGCCAGTGCCCCCCGTCCCCCTCGGCTCCCGGCAGTGCTCCCCTTCAAATAAAATGATGCTTTCAGCGCTCTGGAGGCTGCAGCGCGTGTCGCAGCGCTGCGGAGCTTTAAGTAAAGCGCACCCACAAAAGCTGTTCACCAAACTTTGTTTTCTCCCCCTGCAGTGACAACTCCCAGGTGTTTCAGCCTTACGTGTTGCGGACTCGCAGGAACAGCACAACAGTTATGAGCCGCCATGGAATGGTGAGGAATCTTAAGCATGCCATGTTTGCACACAACAGGGAATAATTGGAGCAGAGAAATGAAGTTAAGCTTGATTTTTATTTGCACTAAGTATCCTAGCAAGCTTCCAAGCTGCAGAATAAGCATTTTTTTCACCTCTAACTGCAACATGTAATGCAATAATACTGGTGTGTTGACTGTCCCCAAGAAGACAAGAGTGGCTGGTGTTTTATGTGACTCCCCATATTAAGTCCAGTTTTAAAGTTAATTTAAGCCTGTGTTAGAAGAGTGGAATGCTATCAGAATTAAGTGTCTTGAAAGGGTGTTTTAGTTCTGAAAATGGACAGTGTCACAGTTCTTTGTTGACCTGTTTGACATGGAGCTCTTTTCGCAAAGGCAGAACACTGGACCTCAGAAAATCACTGGAAGAAGGGGAATTTATTTGTTGCCCTCTGTTATAAGTCTGGTAGTGTACACTACTGCAGTTGTTTAACTTTCCAAAGATGTTGCATTTCTTTTTTCCTACCCTCTCCTTGTCAGGTGAGGGGTTTATGTGCTCCTTCCACTGAAATTTTTCTGTCTTGTCTGAGGATAGTGAAGATTAAACATTGCTTTTCTCAAAACCTTAAATTCCT